ATGGCGGGCCCGGCCCAGCCCAGCCCAGGCCGCCGCGGCACCGCCCCGCCCCGGGGCGGGGTTCCCCCAGGAGGGCAAGGAACGTGCACGTGGGCAATCTTCGTTATGTACAACGGCTTTATTTTTTTAAAAAAACAAGAATGGAGTAAGAAAACAATTTAGGTCCTGCTATAGACGTACAACACAAAGAAGGATCACGAGGAAGCAAGCGCGCAGCAGCGGTCCTGCCTCCCCGTCCCGGAAGGGCCAGGAGCCCCTGCCCGCCTGGAAAGTACTGCAGGAACACGGGACGGAGCAGGGCTGCTCTGGGGAACATCGGCAAACCCACAACATGGCAAAAACAAAGCCCACAGGAGACAGCAGCTTACTACTAGATTGACAGTAGTTACTTGTTACTGACTTGTCAGCAAGTAGTTAACTACTTGTTAGTTACTTGTCTACAAAAGAAAAAAAAACCTCCCTAGTTTTTTAGTTCTAAACCATCAAAGTTCAAGTGAAAACAAATCTGCAGGATTAGGCAACTTCAAAATTCAGGTAGGGCTGGGGGAAATTATTCTTCTCCTCAGCCAAATACTGAAGAAACTCACTGGGTATCCTGCTCCCCACTCGACACACATCTTTCTCCTCATTCCCTTTTTCCCCATTGCTTGTAGACAAGAGTATCACTACTTAAGTAGCCAAAACCAGAATGAGAGGGGGGGGAAAAAAAAAAAAAGCTAAACAGTATAAATCAGTGTTTGCGTTCCACTAAAAAGTTATTTGCAATAAATCTTAAGTGTGATTAAATGAACTTCTGCTATACTACTAAAATGCCCATCGTATTTTCAGACATTTAACATTTTGAAATTGTTTATAAGAAAATGGTTTAAAAATACTTAGAATTTCCTACAATACTAATATAGAAAGTCTGCTGTAAGTTTATACTGAGGAAAAAAAGATTTAAAAAGCATTTCAATTTCAAATAAAGAAAAGAATACAAAGCCAAAAGATATTTATAGTACTATTTACAAGTCTATTGCTAAATTCACATTAATGTTTTATTGAACAAACATCAACACGAAAAGTATTTTAAAGCAAACCAGGAAAGAGACCCTGTGCTTAACTAAAAAACACACCACAAAGAAATGGTGCTTTTTAAAATTCAGCTCAGGTGAAAATTATAACATTTCAGAAGCAGTTGTAACCCGAATAAAAGCACAAAAGGAAATAAAGATCCAGCTGTGTTCCCAGTGAGAAAGCTTTTCCTTGGCAAGGTACAAAAATTTCAAGGAAGTATCTTCCAGTACCTATACAAAACCAGTTTTTGAAAAATTACAGGAAGGTGTTAATGTCATTGAAAGCTGCCCATGTAACTTAGTGAAGAATTTTATTCCAGCTATTACCAAAAAAAAAAATCTAGGAACTAAACTAATTGATTATTCTGGGACCCCAGCAAAAGTCAATTAACAACTGCTTTTTTGCTTATTCTGTACACTTTAAAAATACAGCTCTGCAGTTTCATTTGTGTCATTATAGCTGATCATGATGTCTACATGTCATATTTTTTTAATTCTTTCAAAAAAGCATTTTCAAGTCGTAGTTTTTCAGTCTCCTGTAAAACAGAAAACACATGGGTGTATTAAGGAAATTACGCTCACTTTCATATTTCTATATAAGCAGTATCTACACTTGTTCATGTCCTTTATATACTATATACTTGAAGAAATAAAATGGGGTGATGCTTGTCTGGGGCCTGTGAGGAGACAGACCAGCCATGACTTACACAACTGCATAGAATCAGAGCTCTCCATCTGCCACTCTCCAGCAGAAGAGCAGGAATTTTAGTTTTCAAATCTTAGCTTTCTTCTATGTCAGGCCATTACTTTGTCTGTATTCTACTCTGCAACTTACCTCAGCAAGTTTAGCGTAATCTTTCTTCAGTTTCACAAGATACTGAATCTTCTGGTTTAGGTTTTGATGACCAAGTAATTTCCCATTCTCCTCAGCAAGAAAGTCAACTTGCTTCCTCAGCAAGGCCATTTCCTGTAATTAATAAATACATTGTGTACCTCTTAACCATAGCCCCTCCTTCGCTTTTCAGAAGAAATAGCTTCTTTCAAACTATTACCATACTAACATAAATCTGTTGTAACATATGATGCAAGAATTGGTTCATTCAGGAAACATGTTTTTGTCTTATGTCTCCTTAGGTAATACATTAGATCTCTCCCAAAGCACAAAAAAAGCACCATTTGATTTGTATTATGAATTGCAACAATGATTTCCATACCTAGAGTTTCACTAGTGCAGGAAACAGCACTGCAAATACAACAAAATAGCAAGGCAAAACATTTTCAGAAGCAGTCTTTGATTGCTAATTAATTCAGAATATTGTCCAATTAGCAACAGCTCTACCTCTGCTGAATAAGCTTCTACTGTAAAGACAACAACAAAAAAAACCACCAACCTTTCCAATTCTCTCTCTCTCTTCATATGTTTCCTCTAGTTTTGATCTAATTTCTTCTTTTTCATGAAAAGCTTTCAGCTCCAAAGCTCTTGTTCGTTCCATCTCCAGCATCATTTCAAGACAAGTATTCTCTTTGATTTTGAGAGTATTTTTGGCCTCTTCTAATCTGCCAACATAAAAGAATCATAAAATATTAAAAACCAACATAAATGACATACAATTGAATTAAGTCAGCATTGAACATGGAGGCAGGCTCCTTTAAAATTATCCTTCTGAGACAATATATCTTCCCTAGAACTCAGTGTTAAGAGAAGGAAAAATTTCATTCTGCTTCACAGCTCTTGTGTTTGATACTATCTTTTAACTAGGCAGTGGTTCAGAATTGCTTTTCTTTTTGGGAACTATGCTGTTTCTAACCCAGGACATACAACTCCACCCATGAAATAAAGCTTCACCTGCAAGTATCTAAGGCATGTAAATTTTTCAGATGAACTCTGCTGCTCTTCAAGTTTCCCCTAAGTTGCTTGTTTGTACCTGGCTTTTCCCCAATAGCCTTATTGCTCAGACATCTCTGAACAGCTCAGAGATGGTATGAGCTTGTTTGGCCTGGTAGCTGAAGTACCAGCACTTTAGGTAGACATCTCCTGAAAATGTTTTCATTCTGTCAGGTTCATAGAATAGTAAACCATGCCAACAAACTTCACGGCCTGTCTACTGATTATATGAACTTTAGTAACTTTGTATGCCTATTTAAATATCGCTTAAGTTAAAACATTTTTGTCATCAGTTTTGTTTCAATGAAGCCTCATGTTTAAGATCTACTATATAAAAACAGTATTTATTTGCTGCATTTGTCAAGACATTTTCTTGATGACAAAAGAATCTTTATCCAATTTGTACATTATTTGTTTGTATGAGACATTGCAGCACTGCTCTAAAGTGTATTTCAGAGACCAGACAGGTATGAAAAAATCAATGCATCAAATAAAAGCAAAGTAACTCCACATCAAGATTAGGGTTTCTTTAAAACTTAATAAAAATTACTTTTGAAATGATTATGTGCATAATAAACTATCTTTAAAAGCAGTTACCTACATAAAAAAGCATTCCATTAAATGTAAATAACTCAAATATTAGGAGATTCCACCACTATGAATCCTGAAGAAATACAGATCAGGAAAAGAATAGCAGGAGCAACATTTTCAAGCTAATTTTTATCTACTAATTCAGTACTTTTTCTTGGCTACTATGAGATGCGAAGCACTTGAATTTTGAGAACTACTCGCACAGTAGTGCAAACCCAGTCTAAGAATCCTCTAATAATAAACAATTCTCATTATTCAAGATGAAGTGCAAAAATATAAGCAAATAGAATAAAAAAGCAAAGAATTAGATTGTTAAAAATAAAATATTTACAATTATTAATAAAAAATGAACAGCATTTCAATTTAATTTGGAAAGGAATGCTTAGAATTCACTGCATATAAATGAATTCAAAACATAGAAAAACTTATATTGGAGGGAACATTTAGAATTGTTTAAAACTATGAAATAGGTGGAACCATACACAGTATTGTCCTGATATGTTACCCTTTTCTTTAGAAAACTTAGTAATAGGTGCTACTACCACCTACTGATGAGAAAGAGTAAGAACTTAATGTGTCTTGCAGAAATGTAAACGTTTCCAAATTACATCTTTTATAGTTTCAGATCTTGGATTTCTATTGCTTAAGTATATCCTTTTAGTATTAAGGAGTTTAATACAAATCTCCAGTTCAACAAGCAATATTTAAACTTACTCTGCTTTGATTTGCAGCATCTCCTCCACTGCTTTATTCTGTAAAAGTTAAAAAAATTAGTTACATTCTTAATATTTAATATACATATATATAAAATTTGTTACTTAATTGATGCTACGTATCTCACTCCACATCCTACCAAAATTGTCCTACCACTCAGTAGCTCACATCTAATATTCACTATAAGTTCATCTCTTTGCTATATGCAGAGCACAAATGACCCACAGAAGTATCTCTACCCATTCATACACAGCAGAGCTCTAGCAGGAGGTTCTTCTGTCTGGGAGATCCATGACAACCTCCACGGTGACATTAGTTTCACTTTGACAGAGTCTTGACATCAGCAAATGACATAATCTTCACTTTCCAACTCTAGAGATGAGTTAGATTTAGTGATCTGAACCTGTTTTTGCTTATTGTGCAATCTGACACCCAGTTTGTCGGTGTTGGACCAAGATAGAAATCTTGAAGAGATAAGAAATCAGGCCATGTTTGTTAGAATTCACTAGAAATGAGTGTTTGTTTCACTGCCATGAAATAGAAGACCCATGTTAATACTTCACAGCAGGGAAACAGCAACTGACATGAGAAGGGTAATGTACCTTGGCAAGTCGTTCTTCAGCAATCTCCTCCTCTTTCTCTTTGAGGTACTGAACATCAGGATGTTTCTGGTCACTAGGAAATCCAAGAATAAAGAAAGTTTTT